TTTCTCTGTGCACCTGCTTCTCTGTCTGTAGAAGTAGGAGTGGGTCAGTGCTTTCCATGGGTGGGGGGTGGTGAGGATTAAATAGGACTCAGCCCCCTGGAGGATCTCCTAGGGCCTGCGGTGTGCTCGTGGCCTCAGAAACCCAGGACGGGGTGCTGTCTATGAACTCGGGTGCAGCCTTGGCTGGGGAGGGCCTGGAGGAGAGTGTCCAGGCTCTCTGCTCCTATGAGTCCCCCATGCACATTTCTCTCTGCTCTCCTTGGAGGTACTCCTCAGGGGCTCCGTAGACCAGAGGCATCTGGAGCACTTATGTATGCCAGGGCAAGGAGAGAGCACAAGCCCTTTGCATGGTCGAGGCCTGCCGTTCAGTCCAGAGCACTGCATGCCTCCCCTCAGCACCCCCAGTTCCAGCAGGCACGACCCTGGGCTCCCAGCACCCTTGAGCCTGAGCACCTGGTTTCAGCGTTGAGCCATCAGGCCATACCACCTAGTCAAGAATTGCTACCTGTGGCTTCCCTGACCATGTCCCCACCCAGTGGGTAATCATTACCCCCGATGGGGCAAGGGTGGGGGGTGGCAGTCATGTTAGGGGAAAAAAATCTGCCAAAGATGTTCTGGGACCCAGAGATGGCTCAAAGGGCTGGAGCACACGCTGCACATGTGGGAACCCTGGGTTCAGTCCCTAGCACTGCATGGTCCCCCCAGCACCCCCAGGTGTTCATATACCCTCCCCCCTCCACTATCCCCAGTACATCCTGATTCAACAGGCTGGGCCTAAGCACCTGTATGTTAGTTCTGATCTTAGATGTTCTCCACATTGCGAGCTGAGGATCATCCTCGGCACAAGCAAAGGGAAGAGTTGACCTGAATGTGGACAGGAGCCTGCTGGTGCCAGTGCTCAGGTCCTTCACAGCCCACTGTGGCCCCATTGGGTCTTATTTCCTTCCTGTGGGCCCCAGACCTACTGGTTGGCCCCCTCAGTCTCACGCTGTGCTCCCTCCTTTCTTCAGTTCTCACTGTGGTCCTCTTGGACTCTTGTGGGGCCCATGGGGAAGGTTTTCATGGTATGTGTGTGGAGAGGAACATTTAAGTGTCTTGTCAGGAGCATCAGGGGTCTTTTTTGGGGGGGGAGGGGCACCTGAGTGGGCTGGGAAGACAGAGGGTGGGGGGACATGTGGGTTTCCTTAGAGATCAGAGGACAAGAGGAAAAGCAGACAGCGTCTTTCCAGTGACTTCTGAGCTCCGGGCTGCTGTGCTCTGTCTCCTGGGATCAGCCTGGCGAGTGGCCAGCGGAATTAACTTCAGAGGAGACAAGCTCATCAGCTGGCTCGCAGCCTCGGTCCAGAGCAGTGCCAGGCCACAGAGGAAGCCACGACGCTCCGCAAACACAGACACATCGGGCCGGTGTCCCATGTCCCACCTGCGCGGGTTATAGCACACACACGCCCTTTTCTCCGACTTCGTTTCCACAACACAGTGTTTATAGGGGGAATCTCTTCTAAAGAGATTGAACCTGAGGCTCTGATGAAGAGTTTGAACCTGAGGGTGGTTCTCAGCCCCATCAGCCGCTATTAGAGCCACCAAGTGGGTCCTTGAGGCTTGGAAGGGAAAAGGACTGAGCAGGAACTTTTCCCGTCGGTCAGTTCTCTCGGTCTGGGAGGACAGAGCCCTGGAGTGAAATTGCCAGGCCTGGTCCTCCTTGGTCAACTCAGGAATCTGGGTCTGAAAGTTGGGTGCTATGGCACTGCCTGGATCGTCCAGCCTTTGAAGGGCAATTTGAGGGACCACCCAGATGAGAAGCTGAGTGTTTATTACAGCCACTTCCCTTCCTTTGTCCACAGGGAATTCCCCACCCTGGCTTTATTTCTTGTGATTTTTGAGTAGGGAGGTGGAGGGTTGAGCTTGGGGGCTACTCCTGATTGATGCTGGGGATAATTCTGGGTGGTTCTGGGGAAGGGGATCATGGTGTTGGGGGGAGTATGCAGTGCCGGGATGGAATGTGGTACTTTGGCCCATTTGCACCATCTCCTGGGCCCAGTGTCTTGTGATTTTTATGAACTTGAGTCGCAAGTGGCAGTGTGCTGTCTGGGCCTATGTGAGTTGAGAGGGACTGGGAACTTTGGGACCACACCCCTCTGGGTTTGATCGAAGAGTCAGCATCAGTGACCCCCAGCGCAATCATGGGTCTGAGTTGGGGGGGGGGGGCGCTACTGTGAATGGTTTTGCAGAATTTCAGCTGTGAGCATTCCAAAGTCCCACCTGCATCTAGGGAGGGGCGAGGGGCCCTCCAGGGACCCCACCCACCCAGCCCAACCCCGCTCTGTGTGTGTGTGTGTGTGTGTGTGTGAGTGTGTGTGAGTGTGTGTATGGTTTTGGGTTCTGGCAGCCCTACTCCACCAGCTACCCCCACATGTGGGTGAAGGAGGCCGGGGTGGTGGTGATCTGGTCTATGCAGAAAAGGTGCTGAGTGTTCCCACCCCGGCGCCTGGAGGCCCCACTTGGCTATGGGTGCGAAGACTCTTCATGGGGTTGGGGACAGAGCCCTCTTGGAAGGGGCACTTGCTCTCTCTCTCTCTCTCTCTCTCTCTCTCTCTCTTTGTCTCTGTCTCTCTTTCTCTCCCCGCCCTTGTGTTCTGGGTGGAAGAGGTGGCCTGGGCACAGAGGGTAAGGTGGTGCTCACGAGCCTTCTTGGGAATCTGGCTGTGGTCTCTGAGTGAGTGAGGTCAGGGTCCCAACTTTCCCACCTCTATCTGACACTGGCACTTTCGGAATCTGTCAGTGGGGTGCAGGGCCAGTCTGCTGCGGAATGGGGACTAGTGGGTGATGCCCAGTATCCCAAGATGAAGGAGGCTTGCAGGCCGAGGAAAGGGCCTGACTCTACTTCCTGTGTGCTCATGCTCTGCGGGCTATGTTTGTGGGTGCGGGGTCCTTGCACGCCCAGATGGCACCCCCAACACAGGCGGGAGCTGACAGGACCGGGGAGGTGTGGGGACGTCCTGCTTCCTGAGCATTGATGAGTCCTGCAATTCGGGTCTCGGTGTTTGCGTCCTTGTCCCCACAACGGGCCCCTGCTGGCAGGCGGATGGTTTGCTCTCCCTCTCTGGCCAACAGAGCTTTAGGAGGGGGACTCCCTGCCCTTCTGGACACCCTCAGAAACATGTCTCTCCCATTCCTGCTGTGTCTTGCTCTTTGGGGCCTGCTGGGGATGGTCTATCCCCAAGGCAGCATCCCAATTCAAGTCAAAGGACGCAAAGCCGCTTTCTTGCCTGAGTGTAGACACATGGTTTGCTCTGGTTTGCTTCGGGCTGGAGGTGCTATTGATACAGCTCTCCCCACCCAGCCCTGATGCTCTGTCTTTCCTGTACCCCCTGCCTCCGTCACCCCAAGCTGGGAGGTGTGTGTATTTGTGAAAGGGGACAAGAAGAGGGATATGGGATTTTAGGTGATTTTTTTTTTTGTTTGTTTGGTTTTGTTTGTTTGGGACCATACTCAGCTATGCTCAGGGGTAATCTTGGCTCTGCACTAAGAAATTACTTCTGGTGGTGGCTGGAGGACCAGATGGGATGCTGGGGATCGAACCCATGTTGGCTGTGTGCAAGGCAAGCAAGCATGCTTTACTTGCTGTACTCTCTGTGGCAGGATGTGGGATCTCTATGTTTTTAGTTTGATTTGAGTTTTTTGTGTTGTGGTTCATATCCAGCAGTGGCTCAGGGGCTCCTTTGATGCTCAGGGATGTGCTTCTGGCACTGTTCTGGGGACCACATAATGCCGGGATGGAACCTGGGTCTCTCGCCTCCATCCTTTTGAGCTATAACTCCGACCCATACATTTCTAATTTTTTAAAACTCATTTCATTTTTACTCAAGCATAGCACATGTACATAAGTGATAGATACAGTTTCATGAATTCTACATGTGTGTGAACACAGTTCAGGCTGCATAGAAGATCATCAGAAGCCTCTCTCTCACCAGGCGCCGCCCTGTCCTGACCTCTGACACCAGTAAAATTTCTTCAGCTCTCACTCTCCAGTGAATCAGTGTGCTGTTCTCTGCTGGCTTTGGCTCTCTGTTGTATCTGTGAGACTCATCCACATGGTTTCAGTGGAATCTTTACAAAGATTGGTTTCTGATGCTGCAGAGACCTCTCCTGTGTTTTTTTGCCACAATTTATACCCATTCTAGTACTGGTGGACCTTTAGATTTCTTCTAGTTTTTTTTTGGGGGGGGGGTCACACCTGGTGATGCTCAGGGATTACTCGTGGCTCTGCATTCAGGAATTACTTCTGGTGATTTGGTGCTCAGGGGATCATATGGGATGCTGGGAATCAAACTCGGGTCGGCCGCATGCAAGGCAAATGCCCTACCCACTGTGCTATCGCTCCAGCCCCTCTTCTAGTTTTTAACTGTACTGTCCAGCTGTGACCGCTTTTGTACATGTCTCCTAACTAACTGCACTTCTGTTGAATGTTTCTCTTTCTGGAAAAGGTACTGCCAGGTCACATGATAGGCATTTCCACACCCTATTGGAAGTGATTAGAAAGTCTTTTAGAGTGATGCGGTCACACTGTCCATTATTGCAGGGCCAGCTGCTCCGTGTCCTTGCCAGCATCCGGAACTTCTGGCTCTGGCTCTAGCCTTTTAGTAGGTGTGAAGTGGCATCTCATTTGGATTTTTCTGATGAAGATAGTTGAGCACCTTTTCACGGGCTTAATATTCATTTAAGATACCCTCTTCTGCCTGGATCTGCTTAAGTCTTTGACCCTTTATGCTGTTGGTTGGATTTTCTGTGATTCATAATTCTTTATAGAGGAACGTATTGTTGGCTGTGTTCTCAACCCCTTTTAAGCTTTAAATGAGACTGGGGTGAGTCTGGGGGGCGTCTCACTGGAGGAGCCCTCCTGAGCACCCGCCCGCTGTCCCCGAGGAACCTGCAAAAAGTCTGCTCGGCTGGCCTGTGCCTGGTGTGGGTTCTGACACGATGGCCTTTTCCCTGATATACAGGGTTCTCGTGGGTGCACCAAAGGCGGAGTCCAAGTACAGCACTTCAGTGAAGTCCCCCGGAGCTGTGTTTAAGTGCCGCGTCCACACCAACCCCGAACGGAGATGCACCGAACTGGACATGGCTCGAGGTAGGTGGCCCTCTCTGCCAGATGGGAAAGGACTGTGGTTGGCCCTTGATTCTCTTTCATTTCGTCCCTCCCTGTCTTTTCCTTCTCTTCCTTTTTCCTTCCTTCCTTCCTTCCTTCCTTCCTTCCTTCCTTCCTTCCTTCCTTCCTCCCTCCCTCCCTCCCTTTCTTACTTACTCCCCCCTTCTCCCTTCCTTCCTTCCTCCCTCCCTTCCTTCCTTACTTCCTCCCTCCCTCCCTTCTTTTCTTCCTCCCTCCCTTTTTTCTTCCCTCCATCCTTCCTTGCTTCTTTCTCCCCCCCTCCTTCCTTCTTTTTTCCCTCCACCAGTGCCCATTCTCCATCATTTACATTAAAAAAAAATTTTGTTAATGAAACACCCAGAGGTACAGTTGTAGATTTACAAATTTTTGTGCTTGGTTTTAATTGTACAATGATCAAACACCCATCCTCCACCAGTACCCATTTTCCACCACCATGGGTCCCAGTATCCCTCCCACCCCCATTCCCTCATCCCACCCTGCCTTTGTGGCAGGGTATTCCCTTTTGTTCTCTCTTTCCTTTTGGGTGTTGTGGTTTGCAAAAGAGGCATTGAGTGGCAATCATGTTTGGTCTATAGTCTACTTTCAGCATGCTTCTCCCATCCTGGGAGGATCCTCCCAACACCCTTTATTTGGTGCTCCTTTCTCAATCTGAGCTCCCCTTTCCCCTAGAATGTGTGGCTGACCTCCAAGCCATGGAGCAAAACTCCTGGTACTAATCCTGGCCACTCTTGGGTGTTAGTCTCCTATTTTGTTCACCAGATGAATGCAATCTTTCTATGTGTATCCCTCTCTTTCTGACTCATTTCGCTTAACATGATACTTTCCATGTAGTACCACCTGTATGTAAATTTCATGACTTCATCTTTCTAACAGCTACATAGTACTCCATTGTGTAGATGTACCAAAGTTTCTTTAACCAGTGATCTGTTCTCTGGCACTCAGGTTTTTCCAGATTCTGGCTATTGTAAAGAGTGCTGCAATGAACAAACAAGTGCAGATGTCACTTCGACTATACTTTTTTTGCCTCTCTGGGATATATTCCCAAGAGTGATATTGCTGGGTCAAATGGGAGCTCGATTTCTAATTTTTTGAGAATCGTCCATACTGTTTTCCAGAAGGGCTGAACCAGTCGGTCCCTCCTTCCTTCTTTCTTCTTCCTCCTTCCTTCTTCCTCCCTCCCTTCTTCCTTCTTTCTTCTTCCTCCTTCCTTCTTCCTCCTTCCCTCCATTACTCTTTCCCTCTATTCCTTCCTCCCTCCTCCCTTCCTCCTTCCCTCTTTTCTTCCTCCCTTCCTCCCTCTGCTACTTTCTCCTCTCTTCCTCCCTCCTTCCTGCCTCCCTCCCTCCCTCAACTCTTCACTTCCTTCCTCCCTCCCTTCATCCCTACTTCCCTTTCTTCCTTCCTCCCTCCTTCCCTTCTCCCTTCTTTTCTTCCAACCTTCCTTTCTTCCCTTTGTCCTTCCTTCTCTTCCTCTCTCCCTCCTCCTTCCTTCCTTCCTTCCTTCCTTCCTTCCTTCCTTCCTTCCTTCCTTCCTTCCTCCCTCCCTCCCTCCCTCCCTTCCTTCCTCCCTCCCTCCCTCCATTCCCCTTTTCTCTTTCCCTCCCTCCCTCCCTCCCTCCCTCCCTTCATCCCTCCCTCCCTCCCTCCCTCCCTCCCTCCCTCCCTCCCTCCCTCCCTTTCTTCTCCTTTTTCCTTCCCTCCACCATTCATTATATATTGGTTACCTATTACTAAGCATTGGGAGGCACTGGGTGAACAAAACAAAGAACTTGTCATTCTGGGTTTCAGTCACTTAGAGTGGGAGAAGTCTGCACAGGTGACCAGGGGGATGCATCTTGCTTAGGTGGGCGGACAAGTGAGGCCCCTAGCAGAGGAAGGTGTGTCCCATGTGTGGAGCTGGACAGTGGCATGGAAGAGTTGTTATATAGCTGGGGTTGGTTGAGATGCTGGACTAGATTACATGGGACCCACAGGTCAGGGTAAAGTGTTGAGAGTTTATTTTGAGTGAGAAGGTGGAAGCCCCCAAATCAGTCTTAGGGTTTCTGTTTTGCATAGAAAAGATGGTCAAAGCTTGTGAGAAACCCTAACTCTGGCTTCATGGGAGACAGACCATCTTTAGACGTAAAGCCCAACTCTGCCCATTATTACTTGGCACCTACTGGGCATGTTCCATAACTTCTTTGCCCCGGTTTGCCCATCTATAAGGTCAGGATTAAGGAGTCTGCCTCCCTGAGATGAGCCTGAATAATGGAGATCACTGAGGCCGGTAGGCAGGAGAGTGCTTGGCAGGTAACTGAATAGGATCTATTTTGATGTGGTGTGTGTTAACTCTCACTTTGCCCAGATCCTTTCTCACTCAGATCTTCCCTCTTTCATTCAGACCTTTCCTCTCTCATTCAGACCTTCCCATTAGTCATGTATTTTAACTAAAGAGTCATAGTTTGTTTTAGCAGACAAGAGCCTGTTCTGCAATATATTCAGAAGGGTTTGCAAACTGCCCAAAGCTGGGGATGTTTCCAATGCAGAATCCCCTCCCTGCATGTCTGTCCTGAACAGTCTTGGCTGCATAGTCCTGGTTGGGGTTAATTTGCCATTTGCTGCAAGTTTCTCCTTTTTCTCTCCTGCCCTCACAGACAAAGCTGTAGATCCAACCCTCACCCCTTTTGAAAATCAGGTAGCGTATCCGTGGCCTGAACTAAGCCTTCCTCCCCTGCCCCTCTCAAAATCTCTCTCCCTCCCTCTCCCTCCAGGGAAGAGCCGGGGTACATCCTGTGGGAAGACCTGCCGGGAAGACCGAGATGATGAGTGGATGGGGGTGAGCCTGGCCCGGCAGCCCAGGGCGGATGGCCGCGTGCTGGTAAGGAGCCTTAGGTGCCCCGGGAGGGGGGGCATGATGAGCAAGGGTGACCTGGATCCCTTAGGGGGCAGCATGACATGCTGATCAGGGCACAGCGTTTACTGGGTGTCTGTTTAGACACACTGTTGATCTTGTTATTTTCTTCACCTGTCAGAATTTTCTCTGCCAGGGTGCAGAGGTGGCTATCATAAAACAGTGATACAGGGTCCAGGGAACTAACTCAAATGGCTGGAGAGCATGTCCAGCAAGCACAGAACCCCAGGTTCAGACCTCCAAGCTCCTCCTGGAACTCCCAGCACTGCTGTTGGGGGAGAGCTGCTCATCCTCCCCACCAAATCCCCAAACCAAGAAAAAAAGAACAACAACAGCAACAACAGCAAAATGACAAGGTGTATGTGAAAAGTGCTTTCTGAATTTCATTCATTCCTAAGTATTTGGGGGTGTGCATGTCTCTTTAGATTGGGATTATTTCATACTAAATAGACCTTGGGGCTGGGTATGCCTTGGACATGTGAAGGGCGTATTCCCTGGCACTGCAAAAGAAGAATCACAGATCTGAGTGTTATGGTTTGGGTTTGGGCAATTGTACACACCTGCATGACCGTCTGCCCATGAAGACAGAGCAGATTTTCATCTGTCCGTTTCCTTCTCACTGACCTTTCTCAGCATGATGCCTTCTAGTTCCACCCCTACTGAGGAAACTTGCATGAGTTTGTTATTTCTTAGAGCTGTGTATTATTGGATTGGTATCTATACCATACTTTCTCGATCCATTTATCCATAGTTAGGCATTTGGGTTGTTTCCATATTTTATCTAGTGTACTAAGTGCTGTGATAAATATAGGTGTGCATATATCCTTTTGAGTTAATGTTTTATGTTTGGGAGCATAGATGCCAAGAAGTGGTCTCATTGGGTCGTATGGGAGTTCTATTCCTATTTTTGGAGAGATCTCCAACTTGCTTCCCATAAAGGCTGAACTAGACGACATCCCCACCAAAGAATGGAGGAGGGTTCCTTTCTCATCACAACCCCACCAACACTGTTTCCAGACTTCTTGGTACCGTTCTCAGTGATGTGAGAGGATCTCAGTGTTGTTTGGATTTGCACTTCCCTAATCATGAGTGACATACAAGCACTTTCTTATATGCCTGTTGGCCATATGTGTGTCATTTGGGGGGAAATGTTCATTTCCTCTCTGTAATATTCGATATTTTGTTGAGTTTTGTGAGTGAAAGCTTCTTACTTTTAAATGGTCATTGGCCTCCCATGGTGCACTAATGTTTTCTCATTTATCTATTTGGTGCTTGGAGGGAGAAGTCTTTGCCCTTGCGACCAGAATGGGCTTGCTGAGTGGACTAGCCACATGTGTGTATTTACATTTATCAAAATGACATTTTAATCTTCAGCTCCTCCGTCACGTTAACCACATTCAAAGTTCTTGACAGCCGCAAGTGGTCCTGGCGACTGTCTGGGACAGCGTGTAGAGAAAATACTTCATCCTTCCAGAGAGCCGCATGGCACTCAACAGTCAAGGGATTCCTGATGCCACAGGAGGTTTTGCCCTGTTCCTGTTCCTTCTTTCACGCTTTCCAATTGCAGATGCACACTAATGCATATGACACACAGAGTTTACATGAGTGACTACTGGTGGTTTTCCCTAACACCGACATGCGTCCCCATTGCTCCTGCCCCAGAAATGCCCCAGTAGGGATAGTGACCCTCTGACTTCATAGATCCGTTCATGCCCTTGACTTTTTCCAGTGTTCTGTGAGGAGATTTTCCTATGAAAGTATAGTGTCTGGAAGGGAGCATGGGGGCTTGGGGAGATGGCTTAGAGAGGCTGGAGCACCTCTGAGGAGCATTGGTTTCAAGCCCTGGCATTGAATCACCCTTAGATACTGCCAGGGAGAAGAAAGTCGGGAGTATAGTCATGATTCACTGTGATTCATGGGGCCTCCTTTAGAGGCCCACTGTAACACTGAGGGGGCACATTGTGTTTCACCCTGAAGCAGCCTTTCCCAGCAGAGCTGGTGAACTGTTTGTCCCACGCCCCAAGGAGTCAGTTTTGGTCACTTTCCTCCCTGGCAAGAGCCCCGCAACTGCACACGCCGCTGCCTTCTGGCCCAGGAGAAGCTGTTTCCCCTTGTCGGGTTGGAGGAAGCAGCTGGTTGCTGTCCCCAGAGTTGTGGGGCCTCCATTCTGGAAACCATTGCAGGTCCTGTTGGGGGCCCTTGAACCCCACCGTTAGTCAGGGTTTCCAGTAATTTAATCGCTGTTTGGGGCTGCCCTGGACCCCTTCCAAGGCTCTCCACATTCCTCCAGACGAGTGGCCTAACCCTAACCGGACGCCTTGACCTGGGAGGGCCAGCCGGGTCTGCTCCCCCAGAGATCAGGGCTGGGGCATGTGGGGGATGGGGGATGAAGTTGGTCTGCTGTGAATCTGGGTGGCCTGAGGCTGGGCTTCAGGACAGGGAGGGGGAGGCTGGTGACACCATGCAGGCTGCTCCAATTCCTGAGTGTGTCAAGGCTGGTGCCAGAGGGTCTGCTGTGGGGCCCTTTGCTCTCTGTGGCCGAGCTTGTTTCTAGAAGTTTCTGCATGACAGACAGTCAGCATGAGGAAGCACCCCCCAGGGACGGGAACAGCAGTGAGGATGGGGGTGGGGTGGGGCTGGACTCTGTGAGGGGAGGGCCCTGTGAGCGCCTGCTGGGATTTGCTGCATGCAGTTATATTTGTCCTATGCCCCGAGGAGTCAGTTTTGGTTGGAAAGTGTTTCAAGAAAGAAAGTCCAAGAAAGTCTTCCTTGGACATGACTCCTCAGTCCCTGCTCAGTAAGCCACTGGTGAGGAAGAGGTGTTGGAAAAGGGTGGGCACCCATGTTCCTTGTGGCCCGAAACATGGGGGCATCTGACTTACATTTTCTTTATTGCAGAGTGTTCATTATAGAAGTGAACTGTGTGTGGCATGCTTTCTAGACCTTTTTGCAGCATGCAAAATAACGAAAAAAAATAATAAAACAAGTCATTCTGCCCCTACTCCTCCCCCACCTCCCAGCCCTGGGCTTCAAAACTTCATCTTTTTTTTTTTTTTTTTTTTGGTGGTGGGCACCTCCTAAGCAGTGCTCAAGGAACCCATGGACCATTCCTAGTGATGCCCCATGCACTGTGCGGGGTGGTTCACTGTGAGAGTCTGAGGAGGCCATAGTGCTGGGGACCACCAGGGCCACCCCATAATGCTTGGGGGGCCATGTGGTGTCAGGGATCAAACCTGGTTGAGATGCATACAAGGCGTGCTCTCTACCCCTATACTATCTCCCAACACTCAAGTGATTTTTTTTAAAGGGGTTTGACTTCTTTAATTCAAATATTTGTGTTTTTGTGACTGACTTCTTTCACTTAGCACAGTGTCCTTAAGGTTCATCTGTACCATGGACCTATGAGAGGATTTCCTTTTCCAAGAAGCAGTATCATTTTATGCCAGGTAGAAACCCCCTTTCTTCCTTCATCCATTGGAAGACACAGAGATGCTCTATTCCTGTGAGCCATACTACGCGTGACTGTGACCATGCCAATGTCTTCTTGAATTCCTGTCTCCAGATCGCTTTCGGATGAACTCAGGATGGGGATGCTGGATTTTTTTTCTTATTAATTTTTTTTTGAATCACCATGAGATAGTTATAAGCTTTTATTTTTGGGTTACAATCACACGATGATCAAACACCCATCTCTCCACCAGTGCACATTCCCCACCACCAATATCCCCGGTATAACCCCCCCTTTCCCACCCTACCTCTGCCTCCCTGGGATGGCTGGATTCTTAAGTGGCTCTGTACTTGGTGTGGTCACGGTGCAGAACCTCCATCCTGTGTTTCAGAGTGGCTGTCCTGTTCACAGGCCCACCAACAGAGGACCAAGGCAGGGCTCCAGTTTCTCCACTGTGTCACCAACACTCAGGTTCTGTCCTTCACTTGTTTTCAGCCACTGTGGATTTGATTGGTGATGGCGAGCGTAGTTTTGTATGTTTGTTGCCATCTAGGTCTCTTGGAGAACTGTGTAAACTCTGTCTGCTGTTGAATGGGATCAATGGGTGTTGGTCGAGCTGTTGGGGCTCTTGGCCCATGTGCCGTCTTGCTGAGGGTGGCTTATTCCCCTCTGTCCTCCTGGGTTAGATGTTGTCTTTGAGAAGTGTGTCACTGGTGACAGCAGACCTGTCTGGAAGAGGCTGAGTCTCTGTTGTGCCATCCGGACTCTCTGTCATGCCGTTGCCTTGCATGGTAAACTTCTTTGGTGTGTGGATGCGCTTCCTTTGTGTGGGGTCACTGGGGAACAGAGACCATGTCTCCTTGTGCACTCTGCACCTGGAGATGGCCTCTGAGGTGTTTGCTGAGTGCCAGCCTCATTGCAGTTAGACACTAGACCAGTTGTCAGCTCTTCTTGGTGGCAAGTCCAGGTGGTTGATGGAGGCCAGAGGCAAAATGCTATCAATAGCCCTCTGTAGGTACCCGTGTGGACAAGGGAGTGCTGCATGGTCAGCTGCATGGTCTGTTCATTCATTTGTTTGACCCTCCCTCCCTCCCTCCCTCTCTCCCTCCCTCCCTCCCTCCCTCCCTCCCTTCTTTCCTTCCTTCCTTTCTTCCCTCCATGGGAAATTCTGGGAATCATCATTGCTCCATGCACAAGGCATGCCCTTTGCCTTTCTAAGCTGGCTCCCCGTCCCCTGATCTTTTTCTTTTTGGCAAATATCTGATAACATTCTTGTGGAGAAGTGCACAGATGGTCTGTCTGTGTCTGGTTGGATTGTCATTAAATGGATCTTCATCCAGCACCATAAAAGACCCTTCCCCCTACTTGTCTCCTGGGCCAGCCCCTCCTCCCTTCATGGGGCTGTGGTGTGGACCATCAAGGGCCTGTTTCCCCTTGCTCTGCACTCTGTTACCAGTGGCCCAGAGCTTGGACTGGGTTGTGTGGGGTGCACCCTCGGTGGCTGGAGCTGTGATGGTCTGTTCATGGTGATGGCATGTGATTGAGACTGGGGATAGGGACCCACAAACCTTTGGGATGAGCCAGAGCCAGCCTGAGATGTCGGGATTCTACCAACCCAACATCCCCTAAGAAAGACATGCTGTTTCCATCTTTGAGATAAGCTATTTATTTTATTTTTCTCTTTATTCTCTTGGGAGGGAAAACAATCTTGTAACTTGAAATATGTCAGATTCTAAGATTTGGGGTGACACTAGACTCTCCTCCCCATTCTTATGATTTGGGCTCCGAGCTTGATCAAGTGTGGTGATTTGGCGAGCAGACTCTTGTCTCCCCCGCCTTGCCCTCCTGCCCCCTCCCAAGAACTCCCTTGGAGAGATTGATGGGATTGTTAATGCATTGGAGACTGTCCGAGCATTTTTTTGTTTTTGGATGTCGGGGTCAGATTGACATTTGTGTATAATGTTATTCAGAGCTAAACAGTTTCTTCTTTCTAAAATTTATATTCAGAGTCGCTTTTCCTCTGGATACTACTGTCTTTGACACTTAGATCTTTGACCTTACAGAATACTTTAATGGTAGCTTAGCTTACTATGAAATGCAAAGTTTGTATCTTCTAAAAATTCTCCAGGAGATCTCTTAAATAAGTTATGGCACTTAAAAACCAAAACAAAACCAATGAGACAATAAAGTTGACCTCAGACACATCAAGTCCTTCCTTTCACGGCATCAGTTTGCGCCTGATAGATATTCATCTCTTTTTATGGTTTCTCCAACTCAAAAATGCAAAGCATGGGAGCCCTAGAAGCTGAGATTGTGCTGAATCCATAAACTGAAATGCAACTAATTTCCCACACTAAGTCCATGCCAGTAAGTGGCTCCTATTTGCTCAAAGAGATCAAAAAGTGAGGCTGGTGGACAGTTGGTCAGCCATTCTCTTATCTAAGATTGATGGATGACCTCAGAGAAAATCAGGTCCAGAGCAATCCCATCCCCACACAGTGACCCCAGAGGGGTGATTTCAGGAGCCCCAGGCCCTGTGGGTCAGGCTGGAAGGATGTAATTATTGATAGCCACCTTAGGAAGTTCACTTGACTGGCTTGTCCTGTGGGAACTTGGAGTCCCAAGGTGGAAAATGCTTTCTAGTGAGGCAAGGGGGACTCAGACCTCAGAGTTCCAGTTCTGATTGCAGCTCTTACTAGCTCTGCAGTTTAGGCTAAGGCTTCCCCTGCCTGGGAAATGGGAAATTTAAAGATACCTCCTCTGCCACTTTGCTGGGCTGCAGAGGTCTAAGGTGACAAGTATGGAATATGGGGGCCTTGAGGACATGTGTGTGAAGGAAAGCATTAGAGCCCGGGGCAGTGGGTGGTGAGAAGGGGGAGCCTGGTGGAGGTGGTGGGATCTGGTTCCAGTGTCTGTTGTTGAAACTGAATTTCCCCCCTCCCATCCCCAAGGTTTGATCCCAGTTCTGGAGGCTGTCTGAGAGGTGATTGGGGCGTCTGCCTGTCCCCGAAGCCTCCTCTCCTCAAAGCCCCAACACCCTCCTCTACCCTGCCCTGCACCTTTCCTCTGGGCCTCTCCCTGCTGCTTGGCCTCTTTCTTGGAGTCCCTCCTCCAAGCGCCTGTGAGACTAGCCATGTTCTGGTGTGAGGGGCTTCCTGGGGCCATGGAAATGTCCTGTGTCTGGGTCACATTGCGACCACACAGGCAGATATGTTTAACACTCCAGAAATGGGACTCTGTACATCTTTTGCTGTTTGTAAACATAGTTAAAACCATCAGTAAACCAGGGCTAGAGAGATAGAACAGAGAGTAGGGTGCTTGCCTTGCTTTCGGGCAACCAGGGTTCAATCCCTGACATCTCCTATGGTCCGCCAAGCCTGCCAGGAGTGATCCCTGAGTGCCCAGTCAGGACTAACCCCTGAGAACCATCAGGTGTTACCTCTCCCACAACAAAAACAAAAACAAAATCATCAACAATAAAATGACTTATCAATGAACATGCACTTCTGGATAAAGTATTTTTGTAGGTTAAAAAGAGAAGTCTAGGGGCTGGAGTGATAGGACAGCAGCTAGGGCATTTGTCTTGCATGTGGCCAACCCAGGTTTGATTCTCAGAATCCCATATGGTCCCCCAAGCACCGCCAGGAGTAATTCCTGAGTGCATGAGCCGGAGTAAACCCTGTGCATTACTGGGTGTGACCCAAAAAGAAAAAATAAAAAAAGAGAAGTCTAGTTCAGCAGTTTCCTCCATTCAGCCTTATAGCTTGCCTTGAACCAAAACAGGAGCCCCCACCCTTGCACACCCCCCACCCCTCAGCACTCTGCATCCTCAGCCCTTGGCAGGTTTGGGGGACCCATCCCAGTCCCTCAGAGCCAGCGTCTTGCGGGGTCAATGAGGCTTCTGGGTAATGTTGATGGGGATCAGGTTTGATATTGGCTGAGGGCATGGGGGCTGGGGAATGGGCAGAGGGGCTGTCTCCTTAGCTTCTTTTCTACCTGAGAATGTGAACCTGACCCCCACTGATCCAAAAGAAGGGCTGTGACAGTTCACTGTTGTAACTTGGTGCCTAGTGATGGGGGGCTGAGGGATTCTGGCAGAGGCTGCCGTAGGCAGGGAGGGCTTGGCATGGGGACCCCAGACTGGTTGTCACAGTCTTCTTTTACCCGGTTCCTATTTTCTTCTCCTCCTGCCCCTCGCACAGGGGTGACTTCCCTAGGGCCTGTTAGCTCCACCTGCACCCCGACACCTTCCCTTCATTTCCCCTTTTCAGCCCAGCCCCAGCCCTGGTCCAGGCTGCCATCACTTCCTGGCTACCCCCATCTGGGCCTCTTGGTCCTTTTGGTTGGTTTGTTTGTTGGTCCACACCCCTTGGTGCTCAAGAGTTACTCCTGGCTCTGCACACAGGGATCACTCCTATTGGTGTTTGGGGGAACCATCTAGAGTGCTGGGGATCGAACTCGGGTCGGCCATGTGCCAGGCAAGTGCCCTTCCCACTGTACTCTGGCTCAGGCTCCGGTGCTCCCTGTCTTCACGCCAGGTCCAAGTTCTCTTTCCCAGCTGCAGATCAGGTCTCACGCTTGGCCTACGTGGGCTGCCACTGGCTCTTCCCGGTGCATCTGCTCAAGTAGCCATCCCTGGGGCAGGCCTCTCTGTTCTCTTCCCCGCCAGGTCCCCACCACCCCGAACCTCTCAAGCCTTCCCCATTGGCTTCCCTGGCATGGAGGCACCTGCTCCCTGCTGTCCACACTGGGCAACTGGGCCTCTCTCCTCCTTCACTCTCCATGATCTGCGCCCTCATTTGGTGCTTCTCACCGTATGGCTGGGCACTTCCTCCTGTCCTTGTTGATGTCCCTTTTACTGTCTCTCCTCCCAGGCAGCCTCCAGGAGATTTGTTCTCGTGTTTTCTGGAGCTGGGAACGGTCCTGAGTGGGAGGGAGGACAGGGCTGTGCTTCATCGCTCTTCCCCTCCTACAGAACTCTCAGGCTTTCCTGAGTCCACCTACCTGGTTGCTTCCCCCCCGCTGAAACCTCTCTCTGTTCTTCAGGCCTGTGCCCACCGCTGGAAGAACATCTACTACGAGACAGACCACATCCTACCCCACGGCTTCTGTTACATCATCCCGTCCAACCTGCAGGCCAAAGGCAGAACACTCATCCCTTGCTACGAAGGTCAGTCCGCCCTGTTGGGTCTCTTTTTTGTCCCCCTGCCTACATGTGCCAGGCCCAGAGTGTCCCCCCCTTGGCCCCGAATTTCATGCAACCATGGGCCCTCAGCTTTCCCTAACCAACAGGGACGTCTCTGTGTGCATGTTGGGTTTCTTGGTTCCCCAGATGAGGAGTGGGGTGCGAAGGGCTAGCAGTGCCAGCCTTGCCCAGCCTTGCCCATCTCCACGCTGCTTCACAAGCATGTTGAGGTCGTAGACCCCAGCCAGGGGGCCAAGCAGTAGCCCTGCATCCTGGCACTGCCTTGTGCCGTGCAACCCTGAGTGACTTGTCTTCCTTCTCTGCACCTGCTTCCTCCTTGATGACCCAGAGTTCAGCTCCGATGGCCTCCATTGTCCTGTGTCACTCCCAGGTACTCCCGAGGTTCACGTGAGGGCTCCTGGTTTCATTCAGGCAGTCGCCGAGGTAGGGGCAGAGGCGCCAGGATTTAGGCCTTTCCTGGCATCCTGATGTGACCTTCCTCTCCCCAGTTGGTGAACACCTCAGCGCAGTTCAGTTGAATTAAAATTTAAAATTTTTTGTTTGTTTGTCTTTGGACCACATCTAGGGGTGCTCAGGGTTTATCTCTTGATTCTGTGCTCAGGGATCCTTCCTAACAGAGCTCGATAACCGTACGGGGTGTGGGAGATCAAACACAGGTTGACAGAGTGCACAGCAGACTGTCACCCCGCCGATGGCTGTGCCCCTCGGCGCCGTGCTAAGACCTTCTCACCAACAGTCACTCTGAGGGGGAGCCGAGGGTGGTCTAAGATAGAAACTGTGGCTTCTCATCTTCCTTGCTTAAAACCTTCACAGAGCTGGGTGCTGAGGCTGGGCATGGGGGTGGGGTGTGCTTTAGGACTCAGTGTCCTTCCCCCCGGTGTTGTGGCTTCCAGGCCAGGAAGTCCTTGCCCAGCCAGAGTGAGTGGGGCCCCTTTTCCCTCTGAGCCGGAGTGGTTTGTGTTTTCACCCCTGCCCGTTCCTCCCCAGCACTCATTTATTTGTTCAGGCTCAGCCTCTGGTCGCCCCAGTCCACAGCTTCTTGGGGCCTCCCTGGGGTTTCTTGGCTGTGAATTTTGTGGGCCCCAATGAGGGTTCTGAGAAATGTGTTTCCTACCAGAGCCGCAGGCACCCATAGGGACAGGCAGCTGCCCTGGCGGGGTGATGTGTGAAGCAACCCCCCCCCCCCCCCCCCCGCACCCTGGGAAGCAGGCGGGCACCTGCAGAAGGCACAGACCTTTTTCTTAGCTTCCGCTTTGGGAGAGGGAGCCCCTCCTAGCCCCCCAATGGTGACGTTTGATTAGCTCCAGCTGGGTTTTGTGGGGTCATCAGTAATGCTTCATCTCAGCCAAGGGGGCATGGCTGGGAAGCATAAAAGGCACAGAGAAGAGGTGAGGTTCTTACTGCCCCAGCTGTTGCCCAGAGAGCCCAGGGTCACATGCTCAGCATCACTTGTGAGCCCCTGTCCCTCCTGGCCAGGAAGGGAGAGAGGATAAGGGGCCAATGGAAACAGTGACTGGTGAGCCAGACTGATCAGGCAAGGGGCTGGCATTGGCTTCTCCCTGGAGTGTGTATGTAGTGAAATGGACTCTCCCTGCAGGCACCCTGTGACTTTGGGGATCTCCACCTCTGTTTTGGGTCTAAATGAACCTTGCCTTGGCTCTTAAGATAACTATTGTTTTCTCCAAGTTGGAAAGAGCCAGTGATGCTGGGGTTGGAGTGATAGTACAGTAGGTAGGGCTCTTGCCTTGCACAAGACCAACCCAGATTTGATCCCCAGCACCCCATATGGTCCCCCAAGCCTGTCAGGACTGATCCCTGAATGCAGAGTCAGGAGTGAGCCCTGAGCACTGCTGGGTGTGGCACAAAAAAAGAAGACAAAAATCAAGACAGTGATGCAGATTTTGTTCCAGGTAGGGCATCACATCATGGTTCTGAGCCACAGCACACAGCAGGAGCTTAGGGTTTGACTTTTCAAACATCTCCTCGAGCCAAATCTCCTATCTAATATGAGACACGAGGTCTCAGTGTTCAAAACCACAAGATGTAGTGTGACTTGCTCCCGGACACACTTAGTTTCCATCATTACAAGCACAGCTGGTGGGTATTCCAGTGCACACTCTAGACAGACACTGCTCAAGTTCAAGCTCTGATTCTGCTCCTGCTGATTGTGGCCCAAGCTCCCATGAGCCACTTAACCTCTGTGTGTCTGACCAACCTTGAGGGGCTATGAAGAGGAAGAGGATTTAGTTGATTAATTACAAGTTCTTAGGCCAGTGCCTGGCACATCCATGCTAATAAAACTATAGGCTAGGCATGCACATGTGCAAGCCAGGGATTGTTAATCAGCAGAGGTTACTAATTTGCCAGGAATAGTGTTCACGTAATCCTTTTAAGCACTTGCTGGAGACTGACTGAGCTAAGCGCCTGACAGCTAAAGCCCAAGTGGCACAGTCCCAAAGCCCAAGTGACACAGTCCCAACTATCAGTAGGCTCCCTTGTCCACGGGGGACAATAGAGAAGGGAGCAGCAGCATGTGTGGACACCTGGCTCAGGCGGCCTCCACATGGAAGCTGGCATCCAACAAGTGAGCATTATTTCACTTGTCAGCAGGAAACCAGAGATTCATTTAAAGGCCACAGTCCATGGGGGCACCTGGAAGTGGGGAGGATGGAGAGTGGTGGTGGATGCTGAAGAGGAAGGCAGGGAGCAGCTGTCTCTGCACATCCTGTGGAGCAAAGGGAAGATCACCTGAGAGGGGAGTGTCATCGCATCTGCTCCTGTCACTGGGTCCCAGCTGAGGAAGGGAGCAGGAAGTCTCCTTTTTTACCTCAGGGGGTTATTGAGAGCAATACGTGAGAACTCAGGTGTCAGCACTGGGAAGGCTTCCCCGTTTCTGTGACTCTGATTTCTACAGGATGTTGGCAGGGGGCATTCACGGGGGAGAGCCTCAGCATATGGGGCACTCCTCAGATGTCCCAAAACATCTTCGACTTTGGAATTCTTACAGCATGGGCCTTTGGTTTACCACAATGACATTTTTTTTCTCCCCCTGATGGCTGTTCAGGTGCTTCCTGTTTCGGGGTGGGTGGGGAGGCTGTCACGGTTTCCTGCCTGGAGCACACAGAGGGAATGGGAAACGAGAGGCATTTGGGATGCAGAGAAAGGAGAGGAGCGCTTCCCACCCTGGCAGACCTCTATGTTGGACAGGGGAGGGCGTCCATCCCACCATAGGTTCTTTGACTTCGTCCGATGGTGAGAGGAGAGCGGTAGGGCACCCGGGGAAGGGACCTGTGGACCGCTCTAGGAAGCAGGACTCTCAAAAGTTAAGTCAGTGGCTGTGATAAAACCCAGAACAGAGATCTCTTTCATCCTTGGCGCTTGAGTCTGCTGAAACAAGAAGCCGGAGGTTGGCAAGAGGGAGTGTGTGAATAAGTCATCTTTTTATTGGGTTGGAAAATCACCTCTACTACAGAGTAGTTGGTGAGCAACCGGGTGAACCATCCAAAAACGTGTTTGAGATAAAACCCTGATAAGGAACGGCCACGAGAGGCAGTTGGGGTACATCATATTTCAGTCCTCACTTCAGAATAAGGCTTTCTGCTCACTTCACCCTCGGGTCAAACAGGCACCCAGTTCCTGAGCAGTCTCCAGTCACCTCCTGAGCTTCAGTGCCTTTGTCGGCAAAAACCAGAAGATTGATCCCTGCATGAGAGATAGTTGAGGTATCTGATAAGCCTAACACCATTCTTAGCTCAGAGAAAACCCTCAACACATATGACTTTTAAAATGAACTTTGAATGCCATAATTTTAATATAAAGATATTCTGTATATAATAGGATTCTTTAAAATTATTATTTTTTAAAGTTTTAGGTCCCATGATTTACAGTATTGATAATGGCAGGAGTTCATGCAGAGACCATTCCAACGCCACTGTTACTGTCCTCCCGTTGTTCATTGATTTGCTCAAATGGGTCCAGTAACGTCTCCAGTGTGGTACATGTTTGGCATATCGAGTATGTCACAGGTAGCTTGCCAGGCTTTGCCGTGAGGGCGAGATACTCTTGGTAGCTTGCCGGGCTCTCCGAGAGGGGTGGAGGAATTGAACCTGGGTCGGCCAGGTTGGCCGCGTGCAAGGAAGGCAAATGCCCTACCTGTTGTGCTATCGCTCCAACCCTCCAATACCACACCCTCCACTAAAGTGTCTGCTTCCCTCCACAGTTGTCCCAGTTCCCCCGCTAGTCTCCTACTCTTTTATCCCCCAGGGATATGCTTCCTAATAAAGATCAATTCTGAGGTTCTGCAGCCATTGGGTATTTGTTGTTTCTGTAACTGTGCTTCTTTATATACCACATATACATCATTCTCGGTTTCTTTTCTTTTATTTTCTTTCTTCTTTTTTTTTGTTTTTGTTTTTGGGTCACACTCGAGCAATGCTCAGGAATTACTCCTGGCTTTACACTCAGTTATTACTCCTGGAAGTGCTCAGGGGACCATATAGGATGCCCAGGACTGAACCCGAGTCGGCTGCATGCAAGGCGAGTGCCTTACCTTCTGTACTATCACTCTGACCCCATTTCTCTCCTTTTTATAACAGGATTCTTAAATATTTTTGGAAGCTGTCTATTATATCTTGCTTAAGTGAATAAAATTGGGAAGAAGATAACTGTATTCTTGGAGGTGGGGGTGTTTGGCCACACCAGCAAAGCATGGTGGTAGCTCCCAGTGGTGCTCAGGGGACCATGAGATGCTAGGGAGAAAACCCAGGTCTGCCATGTGCGAGGTATGTGTTCGCCCTTTCCAAACTGAGTGCGAATAAAATGGTTTTAAGAGCCCTTGGAAAGATAATAATTTAAATACTGTGATGGTACTATTTCCCCTGATTTATTTACTTGGTAAATTCTCTTCCCTTCTTTCTGTAGATGATCTAAAGTTGAACTTATGTTTAAATGGTTTAGTTTGGCAT